ATGATCCATAAGTATTGCTTTAACTCTAAGATACTTTGAATCTGTACTTATGTATGAGTTTATATAAATAACTACTATTTCCTTTTCAAACGAGACTCATACACATGTATGATTTTTCTGGTGACCAATTAAATTGCATTTGTTAGTAGATAAAAAAAATTCACAGAAAATTAAGTCTTCACTTAAACTATAAAAATATTTTGTAAAATATATATTTTTATCTCCCTGAAATGCATAGACTATAACATCAGTTGAACCAAGATGATAATTAACTACTTTCCACTGAGGCAATTCCTTGAGGGAGGGCTCCAGGAAGTCCAATGCTTTGCACTTAGTGTTTACCCGAAATACTAAACATACCAAACAGATTTGTTCCCTAGTGCCTAGGCAGCGCTGGCTTCATTTCAAGTATCATGGGCTTAATGTTAAATTAAAATGTCCCTGGATCTATGTTCCCTGTTCAATCTTATATGAAAACATCTCAGCTCTTCCCTACATAAGAAATTTCAAGATTAAGCTACCAGCTAAATTCTAGAACAAAGATGCTCAATTTGAATTAAATAAGATTTGTTTCTACTGACTAACTTCAACTTTGGTGAGTGAAATTTCTTCACATTTGACAAAAAAATATGATTGTTCTTGTGAAGATACCAACCCATAACCTTTGTGGTGCTCTACACATACCATTCATTTTATTCATTTTCTGGATTTTGTTTTGATTATCTTGAGTCTTATGATCACACACAAATTTTTGTTGTTGGTATATCTCTTCTACATTTCTGAGCTGACAAACACACCATTATCAGACACATATATTTGGTATTTCTATAGGTGTATCTATTTTTAAATATCTGTTTAAAAGACAGTCCTGAATTATGTCACAGTCTGACTTAGCACACCTAAAAGATGTGAGAAACACTAAATATTCTTTTTTAGATACTATAACACTAATAAACAGCAACATTTTAGATATAGGGAAACTTAATTAATTTGGAATAATTAACACGAGAAAGATAAAATGGACATTATCAGCTTATCTTCAGTTCTTGCCTTTATCAGGTTAATTAATACAACTTGAAACAGAGGTAAGTCTTCTGTTTTATGAGACAGTGAAGGGATTCTCTAAGTATTTAAGTGCATTAATATAACCAAGTATATTAATACAAATATAAATCCAATTTCCTACAGATTTTTAAGATGTTATTCACCATTCTGTGAAAAATTGAAGGTTAATAACCAACTCCAATTATATCTGTAGATGGAGAACAATGATTGTGCTTGCTGAACTGGAATTGCTATCAAAATTCAGAAGCCTGTCATATTCATTTAATTGCAAGCCAATCTTACTTAAATCAGGATTGTCCCACAGATTCTATCAGCCATTCATGACGTGAATTCTGCTAGAAGAAATCAATTTATATGTGGTAAACAAAAAAGAAGACATATCTGTTTTGTAGTCAGTAAGACAATGTGAACTATTACTCATTGGTAACTTTTTCAGATACACTATCAACTCTGCCCTTTCTGAATTATTTTTTAATTTATTTTATATATATTTTTACATCATGTTCATTTTTAAACAAAGTTTTCTTTTTTTTCTCCCCTCCACCCCACCCTACAGGTGTAGTCTCCATAGAATATCCTTTTTCTTAATGCCAGTCAAGATCATTTTTGTTTCAGGTATGTACTCCTTCGGATTTCCCAACTACTCCATCAGTATATTCTCTGTCCAAGTGATGTCTTTGTTCTTGCTGGCATGTGTGTAAGAGAATCCAGAAGCCTGACCCTGTCATTCAGCCAAACTAATGTGGGATATTTGGCTTGTTTCATGCTTCCTTTCTCCCCAGGAATGTACTGGGCACACTTTCGAAGAAACATCTTCTTGCCCTTCCCAACATCACTCATTTTTATTTTACTTATTTTTTTACATCATTGTTCATTTTTAAACGATATTTTCCTCTCCCACCTCAGGTGTAGTCCCCATAGAGTTTCCTTCATCAATGCACACGGGCTCCATCACCACAGTTCCCTGTGCTCCTCCCTCCCTCCCTCTGATCCCTCTCCCTCCCCCTCTTCTGCAGGATGTCTCTAATTCATAGTTGTCTGTTTTTGTTTTGTTGTGTTTGTATTGTTATTAATTTTTTACACTGATGTCTTATTTGGTTCCCTTTAAATCAATCTTTCTTGTACATGACCCAAAGTTTCTCACTGAGATTCTGAACATTCCACTCTTGTTCATTTTTTAGCATTTTTTTTAAAGATTTATTTATTTATTTTTTTTTTATACAAGAACTGGTGTACAGGCCAGATGCGCAGGAGGGTGAGAGGATTCACCAGAGACAGAGCGGGGAACAGAACAGGCAAAATGACTGAAATACACTGCTGAGGGAAGCAGCGAGCGAGACAGGAGAGGTTTGTCGCACCATGTGGGACCCTCACCGGCCAGCCGGGATCGAACCGGCACTGCAGAGGCTGCTGACAGATTCACAGCATGGCGCTCAATGGCCTGCACCACCAGGGGAGGCCCCATTTTTTAAAGCTTTTTTATCTTGCTTCTGTAACTAGGTCTTTACAAATGACTATAGAAAATCCACAAATGAACTTCCCAATGATAAATTCAAAGTGCTCTTGTTATTTCAAATATCCTGTTTTGAAGTTATGACACTATTGTAGAGTTTTATTTTCTTTTTAAATTTTCCACTGGCTCTATCATGCCCTTCAGGGCAGTTTTTCTCCTTTTTATGTGAATATTCTTTCTTTTTTTTAAGATTTTTTAATTTATTTATACAAGAACCAGGGGACAGGCCAGATGTGTGGGAGGGTGAGAGGATTCACCAGAGACAGAGCGGGGAACAGAAAAGGCAGACTGATGAAACACACTGCTGAGGGGAGCAGCGGGTGAGACAGGAGAGGTCTGCCGCGCCATGTGGGGCCCTCGCGGGACAGTTGGGATTGGCCCCACGCTGCAGAGGCTGTGGACAGCTTCACAGGGCGGCACTCAACCGCCTGCGCCACCAAGGGAGGCCCTGACTATTCTTCTTTCAGTCTTTTTGATTGGGTCCTTGTCTGCATACATATTGAAATTGAATTGAATATATAAAAGTCTGTCCTTAAATCTACCACTTTTCTATCACTTACTTTTTCCTCAATAGTATTCTTGTAAGTACCATTTAAAGGAACCAGATCAAATGCATTTCTTTTTTTTTAATTTCAATTTTATTTTTATATTCCCCATACAATTGCAACCCCCTTATTTTGACCCCAATCCCACCCCTCCCCGCCCCCCCCCCCCATAGAGTGTCTCTGGTTCATAGTTGTTTGTTGATTTTGATATTTTCTTTCTTATAGTTATTCTTTTTCCTGGTCCCTTATTTAGGTTTTCTAGATTCCTGCTATGAGTGAGACCATCCAGTATTTTTCTTTTTCTTTCTGGCTTATTTTGCTGAGCATAATCCCTTCCAGCGCCATCCATGTTGCTGCAAATGGCATGTGTTTATCTTTTTTGAATGCTGAGTAATATTCCATGGTGTATGTGTACCACATCTTCTTGATCCAGTCATCTATTTTGGGGCATTTGGGTTGTTTCCAAAGCTTAGCTATTGTAAATAGTGCTGCTATAAACATAGGGGTGCAGGTGCTCTTTGGAATTGAAGTTTCTGTGTCCTTTGGGTAAATACCTAGGAGTGGAATTGCTGGATCATATGGAAGCTCTATGTTTAGTAAGTCCAGAAATCTCCACACAGCTCTCCATAGTGGTTGGACCAGTTTGCACTTCCACCAACAGTGCAGAAGAGTTCCTTTTTCTCCACACCCTCGCCACATTTGTTGATGCTAGTTTTTTTAATATGTGCCATTCTCACTGGTGTAAGATGGTATCTCATGGTAGTTTTGATTTGCATTTCCCTGATTACAAGTGATGTTGAACATTTTTTCATATGCCTGTTGGCCATTTGCATTTCCTCTTCAGAGAAGTTTCGTTTTAGCTCTTCTGCCCATTTTTTGACAGGATTATTTTCTTTGTTGTTGTTGCGTCTCATCAGCTCTTTGCAGAATTTTGTGATCAGTCCTTTATCATTAGTGTTGTGTGCAAATATGTTCTCCCAGTTGGTGGGGTTTCTCTTTGTTTTGGTTATTGTCTCTTTTGCTGTGCAGAAGCTCTTTAATTTGATGTAGTCCCAGCTGCTTATCTTTGCCTTCCTACATGATTTACACACTATTAATGAAATAGGGGTATTTCAAGCACTACCATTCTTCTGAGTTCCATAACCTTTCATCTATCTTAATGGCTGGCATACTAAGATAGATGAAAGGTCTTTCCATCATAACATATGGGGACAAAGGTCCCCAACCATCTTCCTGTCACAGCTATCTCTGTCAAAGTATAACACAAATTCTCTTTTATCTACACATCCAATCAAGATTGTATCTTTATTATCTCTTGGTGCAAACTCATCGCTATGAAAATATTTTATCCCTCAATTTTATGTCCTTTCGATCAACCATCCAAGCTTTTACCAGATGTTTCCTAAAAATTAGCTTCAGTGAGTTCTCAAAATACATTACAGGGAAATAGAAAGATAGCAGTTCAAGTGATTTCCAATCTTTTTCCATTGCTTAGGGAGTCATAAGTGTATAAAATCATGATATCTGATGGAGTAGCTCAAGAAAGTTGATAATTAACTTTTTGTCTATGTGTAATTAAAATCAATCATGTGAATATTCAGTTAAGTAAATAATTATTGTTCCAGTACATTATTATGACTTTTTAAAAACCTGTATAAAATTGGCAATCAGATTTTAGGGGTTCTATATTCCTAGATAATGACTAAAGATTTTTTTAGAATTAAATGTTTACTAATTAATGTGGAGATAAATCCACTTTGAGTTCTTTTATGCTGAATACATTGAGTGCCTTGACATGTAGATATATTATAAATTATACATTATTTTCCTACTCTTCTTTGACTTCCTAAACAGAGTTATACTTGCTATCTTCAACCATGGCCAACTTGACCTCAGTGAGTGGATTCTTTCTTATGGGGTTTTCTGATGACCGCAAACTCCAGCTTTTACATGCTGTGCTGTTTTTGGTGACATACCTGCTGGCCTTAACTGGCAACATCCTTATTATTACCATAACTTCTTTGGACCATCGCCTCCATTCCCCCATGTATTATTTCCTGAAGCACCTCTCTCTTTTGGATCTCTGTTTTATCTCTGTTACAGTACCTCAGTCCATTGCAAACTCACTTATGAACAGTGGTTACATTTCCTTTGGCCAGTGTATTCTTCAAGTTTTCTTCTTCATAGCTCTAGCCTCATCGGAAGTGGCCATCCTCACAGTGATGTCCTATGACCGGTATGTTGCTATCTGTGAACCACTGCGATATGAGACCATAATGGATCCCTATGCTTGTAAGCATGCAGTAATTGCTGTGTGGGTTGCTGGGGGCCTCTCTGGCCTCATGCACACAGCTGTTAACTTCTCCATACCTCTCTGTGGGAAGAGAGTCATTCACCAGTTCTTCTGTGATATTCCTCAGATGTTGAAACTAGCATGTTCTTATGAATTCATTAATGAGCTTGCAGTAGCTGCATTCACCACCTCAACAGCATTTGTCTGTTTAATTTCCATTGTGCTTTCCTACATTCGTATATTCTCTACAGTGCTGAGAATCCCAACATCTGAGGGCCGGACTAAAGTCTTCTCTACCTGCCTACCACACCTATTTGTAGTCACCTTCTTCCTATCAGCTGCAGGCTTTGAGTTCCTCAGGCCCCCTTCTAATTCCCAGTCAGCTATGGACTTCATGTTCTCCATATTCTATACTGTGATACCACCAACACTCAATCCAGTTATCTATAGTTTACGGAATGAAGCCATGAAGACAGCTCTGAGGAAAGTTCTGTCAAAGGAAGAATTTGCTCATAGAAAAATATATGTAAAGGCTATTTTTAAATTCTAAATACACATTCAAGTAAAAGGTATTTGCTATTATTTTTCAGATTGTATGAGGAATAAATCTACTTTTTTTTTCAGAATTTCCTACCAAATTTTCTATTTTTTTATAATCTCAAAATATAAGAATATTGACTTTCCTTTCTCTAGTTCAAGTCTTAGTTTAAGGCATCTTCTAGAAGTTTTTCTGAAATCATAGAGAAAAAGCATTTATTTTGAAGCCTGGTCAGCATAAGTTAATGTTGGTTTTTGATAAATAAAGTCCAGACTATTGTCTGTAGGCTCATTGTGTTTATGAGATAGTGTATACATGGTGTGTATGTGTAATTTCCAATGGGTCTTCAAGTTTTTTATCTATATTAAGTATCCATATTAGTTTTCCCTTTCTATTGAGTATTAAAATAGTATTTACAGTCAGTCTTTCACACATGTCAGGTATGTTATATAACATTTCAATTTTATCAAACAAATCTTCAAGCTAGTATACATTGTCCCCATTCTATCAGTTAATACTCTAAATTTAAGAGAGAGACATTTTGTTGTGATATCTCAAATAGAAAGTAGTAAAACTGTGATTCCAATTAATATTTGTCTGACTCACCTCTTGTTTATTTGCCTCTACTCATTGCAAATACTTTGTTTCTCAATGTGATTGTTTACATATAAGTCAATGATAAAAAAATAAGTTCACTAATTAAATAACCACGATGCATGTTTGTTGGAGGCGGTCATTTTGTGTAGTGAGTAAAAGGGCCTTGACCTGAGTCTTTAAGGCATGTGAAAACACATGTGTCTTGGAAGAAAACTTTTAAGTGACAGGACTTGGTGTTGAGAGTCTGGAAAGTGACTTGTGTGGAGTCGGGCTTCTACATCTCCACAGTCTGAAAATAACAAAATGGAGAGATCCTGCGCAGTGAGCAGAAGGGCCTTGACCTGAGTCCCTAAAACATGTGAAAACACATGCATCTCGGAAAAAAACCTCTGGGTGACAGGACTTGGTGTTGAGAGCCTAAAAGTAAAGTACATACACATGTTTATTGCTGAAAATGTATTAATTATTTCATTTCCTCTCCTGAGCTGTGGAAATTTTGACAACTTTGCTATAGTGTTAGGCATGAGATAACTCCTGCTTCTATATATCAAAACAAAGATAGATACAACAGGAAAAATTTACACCGATGAATACGTGAGCCACAGATCTTGTAGATCTGAAGTTGTGACTCATTTGGGAGTAATTTAATATTCTTCAACAAGGACTCATCTTGAGCAGGTTCTCTCAATTTTAAGTAAATCAAAGTAAATACTCTAATAGAATGGGAATGAGCAACTGCTGAATATTGGGAGAGTATTTTTATATGGTTTTTTGATTAATTTTTCTGTCTATAATAGTACACATACATGAATACTATTTGTTTTTTTTTTAAAGGTGATACATTTCTCTTTCACTATAAGTTTGGCTTTGATGAAACATTTTATTAGTGCCATATTTTGCTATTTTGAATTATAAATAACAGCTTTTCCTCTTTATATGCAAACTTAAATACACATATATTTATTTAAATATACTGCATATAATTTGTAAAAAATTCCAAAATGGAGATAAGAAAAGAAAAATCCACTGTAACTAACTAATATTATGCTATTAATGAATATATTGCTATATTTTTTAATTTTTGTTTTTGCAAGTTTAGATATTAGATTGTTTTGCAATATCACTGTACATAAGGATCAATAAATTCTTTTGTTTTACAATTATGTCATAACCATGTTTCTCGTTCTATATGTAAAATAATTTTGTATATATGGTTGTATGTTATACTTAATAATACTCTATTTAGAATGTTAGTATTGTCATTGTTCTAAGTTATATTTTAATAAATATTTTAATCTATGCATATAATTATATATGTATATAATTAATTTCTTAGGTTACATGCCTAATAGAATTACCTCTTAATTATTCTCCTATGCCTACATTCACCTGTTCAATATATCATTGAATCTCCTTGGACATTCATACACTTCTGTTCATATTCTGTAAAATAGAGAGATTTCCATGGAATGCATTAATACTAAAATTTAATTAAAAAGAATGTTTTTCTCTCAGAGAGAATTTTAAAATTCTTGTGGGAAAAAAAAAACACTACTAAACAAAGATAATCAACACAGAGGAATTAACAGTTTATTTGAATGAGAATATCCATTTCTATCAAGAAGAAATTGACATATATCACTGTATAAATCCAAGGCATGCAGCATGGTGATTTGATTTCCATATTATGAAATGATCACCAAAATAGGTTCTTCTAAAATCCATCTTGACATATAGATACTAGGAGAAGAAAAGAAAAAATATGTTTGTTGATGAGAACCCATGATTTATACTCAAAAATTTTCCTATATATTATATAGCAGTGTTAGCTATAGTCATCATGTTATACATTACAGCTGAAGTACTTACTTATTTTGTAGCTGCAAGTTTCTACCTTTTGACTACCTTCCTTCAATTTTTCTTTCTATGGGTTTTTTCTTTTAATTTTATATTCCACATATAATTTAGGTTATATAGTATTTGTTGTTCACTGCCTAACTTAATTCACTTGACATAATGTCCTTGAGGTTATTCACAAATGGTGAAATTTCTTCATTTTAATTGCTGAATAATATTTCATTGGATAGATGATAAATATCAGATAGGTAGATACAGACATTTACATATATAGGGAGAATTTTGATACACACACATTCATCCTTTAATGAAAACTTTGGCAGTTTCATTTTTACAATAAAAAAAGATTTATTAATTTTTATACAAGAACTGGGGTACAGGCCAGATGTGCAGGAGGGTAAGAGGATTCACCTGAGACAGAGCGGGAAACAGAACAGGAAGACCGGCCAAAATACACTGCTGAAGGGACCAATGGGTGAGACAGGAGAGGTCTGCCCTGCCATGTGGGTGTCTCCACAGCCGGTGGGGATAGAACCAGCACTACAGAGACTGCAGACAGCTTCACAGTGCTGCACTCAACTGGCTGCGCCACCAAGGAGACCCACTTTGTCAGTTTCTATGTTGGTTATTGTATTATAACCAATTCTACTATAAACTTGCTGGTGTAAACACCCTGTTGAATTAATGTTTCATTTCTTTTAGATAAATACCCAAAAGTGAAATTGTTGGATCATTTGAGAGTTATATTGCTAATTTTTGAGGATTTTCCATACTGTTTTTCATAATGACTGTTTCAATTCACACTCCCACCAACAATGTACAAATGTAATCTAGTTTCCATATCCATGCCAGCATTTATCTCTTATATTTTTGATAATGACCACTATAACAGGCACGGTGTGTTATCTCATTTTGCTTTTAATTTTCACTTCACTAAGTAACATTAAGCATCTTTCATGTAGCTGTTGGCATTTTGTATATTTTATTTGGATAAATATCTATTCAGGTCCATTGTCCATTTTATTGAGTGGTATAAATTCTTTATGTAGTTGGGATAGTAACTTTATAACATACATAGTTTGCAAATATTTTCCCTATTGCATGGTTGTATTTTCACTTTGTTGATGGTCAACAAAGTGACCATCACTTTGCTGAGCTGAAGCTTTTTAGTTTGAGTCTGTCCTGTTTCTTTGTTTTTAATTTTGTTGCTTGTACCTTATGTGTATAAAAAAATAATTAACAAGATTCATGTCAGGGAGCTTTATTCTTTTGTATTCTTCAAGGAGTTCATGGCTTCAGATGTTTTCATTAAGTCTTTAATCAATTTTAGGTTAATATTTCGTGAGTGCTATAAAACAGGTGCCTTTCTTTTACATATGAATATCCAATTATCCCTGCACCATTTAGTAATGAGATTGTGTTTTCTCTTTTGAATATTAAATATTGGCTCCCTTGCCAAATATGTTAAATATATAGGCTTGGATTTATATCTGGACTCTAGATTCTGTTCCATTAATCTATTCCTGTGCTTTTTATCGTTGCCATACTGTTTGATAACCAGAACCTTATAGTAGAATTTGAAATCAGGAATTATTAATACTAAATGTTTGTTCTTTCTCAGGATTTCTTTGGCTATTCAAGGGCTTTTGTACATAATTGTTTTTTCTGGATCTGTAAAAAAATGCCATCATGATATTGATACGTATTAAATTGAATATATAAATGACTTTGGTATTTTACTGATTTAATGCTATTATAAGTAAATGAATTTCTTTCTTTTTAGACTGTTTTTAGTGTACAGAAATGCTAATGATTCTTTGTATGTTAAATCTGTATCCTGTAACTTAAGTGAATTCATTAATTAGATTTAATATTTTTTGATTGAATCTTTAGAATTTCCTATACATAAAACAATATCATCTGCAAATAGAGATAATTTTACTTCTTTTTTTTTTAGATCTGGTAGCTTTTATTTCTTTTTCTGGTCTGAATATTTTCATTAGGATTTCCAATATTATCTTTAACAGGTGTGGTGAGAGTGGAGACCCCTGTCTTGATACCAATCTTAGAGAAAAAGCTTTCAATATTTCACCACTGTGTATGATATTAGGTGTGGTCCTGTCATATATTGCTTCTGGTATATGGAGATAGTAAGTCTTTACCAATAAATAATTGCTTTAGATTAGATTATTTGATTGTTTTGTTGATTTGGATGAATTATTCTATTTTGGTTCCTTATCAGTTGTATGGTGTGCAAATATTTTTTGCTATTCAGTAGGGTGTCACTTCATATTGACAACTATCTCTTTTATTGTACAGAAGTTTTTAGTTTGCACTAAATAGACATTTACCCAAAGAATAAATGCAAATATCCAACAAACATATGAAAAAATTTTCCTCATTACTTATTATAAAGGAAATGCAAGTGAAAACCACAATTAGATACTACCTCATACCTATGAGAATGACCCATATTGAAAACAGAAGCAATCTCTGCTGGCAAAGATGTGGAGAAAAAGGAACCTTCTTAAACTGCTGGTGAGAATTTAAACTGATTC